AACACATCACTTAGCTAAAGCCTGAGGTTAGGAGGCCGAGTATAGCTGGATCTGCACTTGAAGACTTGGACTGCACCCTCCCTTGAGGATCGCTGCAGGTCAGGTGCAGGACACGGAGGACAGACAAAAGCACGAAGCTCACAGGAGGCTGGGATACAAGTGAGAGGACTCAGGAGAGAGTATTGGCCAGGGCAGGAAAGAAGAAACAGGCTGGTCAATGGAGGAAGCAAGGAGGAAAGCAGGGTGCAGATAAAGAAAGTAGGAAAAACAGGGCTAAACAAAGAGAGACCAAAAAAGGATAATTTAAACCATGTTGTGGTTTAACCCCAGCCAGCAACTGAGCACCACACAGATGCTCACTCACTCCTGTGGTGGGATGGCGAGAGAATCAGAAGAGCAAAAGTGAGAAAACTCGTGGGTTGAGATGAAGACAATTTAATGGGTAAAGCAAAAGCTGCACGCACAAGCAAAGCAAAGCAAGGAATTCATTCACTGCTTCCCATCGGCAGGCAGGTGTTCAGCCACCTCCAGCAAAGCAGGGCTCCATCATGCATAATGGTTATTTGGGAAGACAAGATGTCATCACTCCGAAAGTGCCCCCCCTTCCTCCTTCTTCTCCCAGCTTTATATGCTGAGCAGGATGTCATATGGTGTGGGATATCCCTTTGGTGAGTTGGGGTCAGCTGTCCCTGCTGCGTCCCTGCCCAACTTCTCATGCACCCCCAGCCTGCTCGCTGGTGGGGTGGGGTGAGGAGCAGAAAGGGCCTTGACTCTGTAAGCACTGCTCGGCAATGACTAAACATCCCTGTGTTATCAACATTGTTTTCAGCACAAATCCAAACCATAGACCCATACTAGCTACTATAAAGAAAATTAACTCTATGCCAGCCAAAACTACCACAAGCCATTTTGTAAATGTGTAACAAAGCAAAACCTTCCTTTGAAAACCGAAAGAAATTAAGGAAAAAAGAATCAGTTCAGTTGTTCTTTGTAGGCATTCACTACAAATTGCCAGAATGCAAACATATTCCCATGCTTGGTGTGCAATCAGTGTTTTCCTCTGCAATATTTAATCTCATTTATCAAGCTTCTTAGTACAAATTAAGTTACAAGGTAATCAATTAGATTGAAAACACAGCTTGTTTCATTGTTTTAATTTTGCACTGTAAGCATATTCACTCTAATTTAACAATTAGCTAACCAAAACCCATGAAGTGTTTATGTAGCTTGGCTTTGTGTCATTCAAATTCCTTTCCTGGATCATTGTGAATGCATCAGCCAGTGGAGCCCCAGCTACAGTTTTAAAATCTGGCAGAAAACACACATGGGGAAGGAAGAGGGGAACATGTAGAAACCACAACACGGTGCTGGAGTTTGAAAAAGGAAAGGAAGACTCCGGAAACCGCTGCTCATTTCCAGATAAACAGACAAACTGCCTAAGGGACTGCAGACTCTTTTTTCCTGGGACGCTCTCTAGGGGGACTTCTGCAGAAGCCACTGCTTTACGAGGTTAGAGTCGCATGGATGGGCCACTTTTGTACCCAGAGGAAGCTGCAGCAGCTGTCTGTAGATTCAGAAGGTTTTCCCATGACGTGGGGGATGTATTGACGGCAATGAGTGCAGAGGGAGTCCCTCAAGTGGGACATTGCTGCCTGATGGGAAAGAAGACCGAACTGGGTGGGTTTTTTTTTTTTAAATTGTTGTTAGCTAGGACGAATTGCTCTTTTCTTTAGAGAAAAATGTTTCTTTTAATTTCTAGAAATATTTGGATACAATAGTTATCATCTTTTGCTTAAATTGAGATCCGCATATTCTGCAGTTAACATCTTTCCATGTTCTGGCAGTTTTGGTCAAAAAGATGATTAGGCGAACTGCATACCTGAGAGCCTATTCTCCAGTTTTATGGAGGTGGGGGTTTGGGGTGGTTTTTTTTTATTTGTTTGGGCTTTTTGTTGTTTGGTTTTTTCATTTGTTTGGTTTTAATTTTTTTTTTTTTCCAGTAGAGTGCAGTTGGAATTATTTTCAGTGAAGTTCTTGCTTAGCTGAAGAAGTCAACATTTCCTTACCACCACAAGGGAAGAGGTAAAGACAAACCCTAATGACACCAAGTGTGCACCTGCAGTCTGCCCAGAATAGGAGCAAATGTAAGAGGAGGCTCTCCCAACCTTCCAACAAATGACCAAGCAGGTGAGAGAAAGCAGCAAGCAGCGTGACACTGGCTACGGCCAGAGGAGCATCGGTTCACCCGCTTGTCCACTCTTCTGGAGGACATCTTGAGGGGAAGCGGGAGGAGGCAGCGGAGTGACACAAGTGGGGCAAAGTATGTTGCCCAGCATGATCACGGGCTGACAGATGAAACATTATTAGACTTTGCTTCTGTGACAGACTTCGGTGTTTTAACACTTACACATGGTAACGTGATCAATGCTTGTTTCCAGCTGCGTTTATGTGGAAGTGATCCAATATGACTGTCAACCCTTCCTCTGTCCCCAAGCCCTGCTCTCCGTGCCCAGGCAAACAAGAGCCAGACACCTTCTCTTCCAAACACAATTTCTGCCTGTCTAAGCAACGTGGTTTTCTGGGATCACACACAGAATCAAGGACTAAACAAACCAAAAGCACTTGGTCTTTGCATTATATTTCTGATTTAGATATATTATACATAAAACAGTCCTGTAACAGCCAGGCAGTGCTCTGCCTGGCTACAGGAAGGGAATAGCTAGATAACATTATGAACTCTACTTATATATTTGTTAGTTTATCGGTCCAGAAAGGGAAGCGATAAAAATCTGATTGCTGACCAGTGAGGACAGGTTTTCATTAGAACAGCTTTGAATTGGTTTATTTGCTACTGTCCATCAACAACTGACTGTAACATGGGAATGATTTCCACCTCCCTACCCCGCAAATACACTTCCTTACAACGTTCAGGACAAAATTTGCTATGTAGAACCAAAGTCTGCAAAAATAATTCTGATCTACATAGCAATATCCTTTGCATTAACTTTATGAACACACACAATAGCTACATGTGAAGTGCCTGGGAATGTAGCTGAAATGTTCTCTTCCCCCATCGCTACACACAAAAATCCAGTTCTGTATGCAAGTAAAACACACCCCCAAGAAGCATACACTGGGAAATTGAAATTAATGGAAGGCTATACTTCAATTGATTTTGTGGTCAAAAGAATTATGAAGTATTTGCAGAGAGCATGAAAAGGCTATCTTTTTTTATATGTGGGTGTAAATTCAGCAGAATTACATGTCTTAAATGAGAGCGAGAGTCCTCTCAGCTGCTCACATAAAAAGCCAGGAAGCAGAAAGATATAAACAGATGGTCTTGAGATTTTCCAATTACAAACCTTTTTGGCAATATACAGCTGGAGGAATTCCAAGCATTTGTCACTTTGACACTGCTTTGCAGTAAGTAATGGGATTTTGGTACTTACAAATTCTGAAACACGCTGCAATCTGAAGACCAAAACCAGCTATCTAAATCCAAATTATCACCCAAGTTGTTAAAGTCACATTTTAGAATAGGTACCAACCTAACAGAAGCATCTCAAAAGACATAAGGAAAACTATTTTTAATTTGATGCTTATTCATAGATTCACTAAGATTCTGCAATGGAGCCAGAAGATATAAGCAACTTTGAGCATGCTGGGCACGCTCACACTGTTGCTGACACTGTAAAACTGAAACCCACCATAAGGATAAGAGGCAGGCTGCTAAACACAGCATCCCACAAGGTGAAGAAATCCTCCATTCCTCAAGGGAGCATTACCCGTAAACTTTTGTCTTGGTTTGCAAGAAGACTGCAAACAAAGGAACTTTGAAATACGCATTCCTTTTTTATTTCTTTTAAAGAATTGTAATTCTTTAAACATTTAATGCTTAAGGTTATCTTATTTTACCATTCCACAAGTCATACACCTAGTAGGTTATTAAAAAGGGATTAGCTAGCACTGGGGTGCACAAAAGGTGTATGAATAGAATTGAGTGGGCACCTCATACAGGAGCTCAGAGCAGCATGTGTGCATGCACTTGTCTAAAACAAGAGCTAGCCTCGACATTTGGACAATTGTAGCTTTTGGAGCTCTCAGATTTATCTCTGCTTCCATTTTGACCTACCACAGAAACTGGATGCAAGGGCCTGAGCTAATAATTTCATTAAGCAGTAATCACTGATGCACAAATCTTCTATTTTTGAAGGGGGAGAAAAAACCCTCTTTCCTGGGTTTTGAGGGAAGCAAAAAAAGAAGTAACTTACAACACTTACTTTATTTTATAACTGTGTAAATGTAAAGTGTGTAAGTTGCTCCAGGTTCTTATTTTACATTAGGCAAACTAACTTTGCAATGACATGCTCGATTCCACAGCTATAGGTACCCCTACCTTCATATGAAAGTGCACTACAGAACCCTATCAGACTGAGAAGAGTAATCCAGGTATAGAACCACATACTTTCTACCCTCACCAAGTTATTCTTCCATGTTATTCCAACGTGGAAACTGAAAGAGAGCGATAAAAATCTTTGGGGCATGTAATAACAATTAAAGAAAAGAGAGGAGCAGAGTGGGCATTAATGTCACTCTGCATGATGATGTGGAGGCTCCAGTACCAAAATTTCTTTCAGAATCTGAATTCTGGCTTGGGTTTCCAAATTATCTTATTCAGTGCAAAACAGCAAGGAAACAAATTTTAAACTTATTACAGCAATGATAAAACTAAAAATATCTATGAGAAGACACAGTACTTCCCACTCAACAGAAAACAGTACTGAGGAGTCTTCCCAAAACCAGAGCTAACACTTTCTAACATAACCCAAACTATGGCTGTAACTTCAAAATCACAGCCTGAAGAAAACAGAAATGGGAAGAGTTGCTAGGGTTCATTAGACTGGCTGGAAGCCATCCAAAATCAGGACTGCTGTCCAATGATGTGAATCTTTTATATGAGAAACCTGCTTTCAAATCCAGAAAATAAAACCTGTGCTTACTTGTTATTGGTAGGTCCTGTTGCCAAGACATCCGATTGCAACTTCGGGAAAAATCCTTGTTCGTATTTCCCTTGGCCGATCTTCATATCAAGTAAGTGCGGGTGGATGGCCGTGTGATCGATCTTCATCAGCCGCTGCTCGATGGACTGGGCTGCAAGTTACAGTCACAGGTGAACAACCACCTTAGCGAACCACCTGAAAACACATGCTATGACAACAGAAGTGGTCATGCTCCGATCCCTGAAAACGCTCTAAGAAGCTAAATAGTGATTTTAGACCCAGACATCTGTCGCTTACAGAAGTGATGAAACATCTGCGCTGTTATTTTGTTATTTTGCTTTTAGTTTCTTCACCCAACACAACTAGTATTGGCACAAGCAAGTTAGCCATTAAGCAAGCAGGTCTTTACAGGAGTCTATGAGGTGGGTTATGAATCTGCAAGAGCAGTGCAGTCTTTCCCTGCGATTCGGTGTTTGGCTTTAACGCTTCTTCGGTAGAATGCAGACCTCTGAGGCCAACTGCAACTCTTTGCAGAGTCAGGCACCTCACTTTACCCCAGACATGTCTCCTTGGGGCGATACCCAAGTTTTGCAAACATCTGGCACCTATAAAGGTCCTCCTCCTGAAATTAGATACGCCAGTGCTGGATGACAGGCCTTCAAAAAGCACAGCTAACTGTAGCAAGGCCTCAGCAGCACCAAGAAGATGAACAGATGCTTGGAAACAGGGGAGGCTACAGCAAGACCAGAGAGGGGTCCCCAGGAATCTCGGCTCCACTGAACTGAACCATGTGGTTCAGTTGTTTGCTTCAACGACGTGAGGATTTAATCTCAAATCTCAAGCAGGATGAAAATAAGATCTGTCACCCTCTCAACATTGAGTCAGATGCACTTTGAAGGAGAGGGGAAAGGAGGTGTACGGGGGAAATCAGCATTTAATTAGCAACTTTAATATTCAACTTGTTATAGCCCATCCATTAATGGGCAGGCCTGTTCTTTTCAGCATATCACGACTACTGAATAAATATGCAAAATGTGGAAGCTAAATCCATTTTCCATTTGTCAAGAACAACACAGAACTCATTTCCTATTTTATAAAACTGTAATGGGAAAGAAACTGTCGTAAGATTTACATACATTATCATTAGAAACTCAGCAGGTTTTTTTTCTCTCTCTAAAAAACCAAATCACTTCATATGGTTTTATTTTGGAGAAAAGGACTGGGTAGTGTGGGGTCAGAGGGTTTGAAGGGTTCCGAAAACAGTAGGTTAAACAAACAGGTGCTGGATTGGTGCTAGGGTCACATATATTGTGAATGGTAAATACAAAGGAAAGTTGGTATTACTATCAGTTTGCTGCTTTTCACAAGACAGAAAATGAGGTTCTGGTGCCACAATATCTACCAAAACTAGACGCTGAATACACAGTCGACCTGTAAATTAGAATTGGGTTTAGACAGAAAAAGTTAAGCAGGCACAGGATTTCTATTTCTGCCACATTTGTAACAAGTAAAGCACTCTGAAGGAATTAAAAAAAAAAAAAAAAAAAAAAAAGAGAAATGTGTTTGCCCCAGTTCATTAATATGTGTCCCAACAAATTTAAGAGTATAATTTCCCTGTATTACTTGGAAATGAAATAAATACTTGCACAGTAAGAAACTCAAGTATAATTTGAAAATGCATCCTGTGACTGTAATGGGAAAAAAAATCCAAGTCTTCAGTACACAGTGTATTTTCATTAACACTGAGCATCTATTGCTGGAGCTACTAAATATGCCACACAGGGTTATGTCCCTGGCATCCCCCACAGCTCTAACCAAACGGCCTAAGGCAAAAAAAGGTCTTTTTACGGGAAGGGGGGGTGAGGCTAGTGGAGCAGACACCAGGGCTCGGCTCCTCATTGTGGCTGGCACTGGTCCCACCACCACGGTGAAGGAAAGCTCTCCTGGCCATGGAACAGGAGCTGCCTGAAACGAGAAACAGCGAGCCCAGCTCCGTGGTTTGGTTTGTGTTTATTAAAGGCGCCAACCTAGGAGAGCTTGAAGGGAAGGTAAAGGCTCCTGCTGCTTTTGGTGTTTAAAAGCATGCTGAAGTTTTTGCCTAGGGAAAGTAAGGACACCACTGGGTCCTCCTCAGGTAGCTCTAGGGCCTCCTCATCGGCTGCAATGCTTAGATGACTGAGGACCTATATTTCTTTGTGGTTGACATTGTACTTTTGAATATTTTACTAGCCCGTCTGAACGTACCTGCTTCTTTCAAAGTGCTGCATTTCTGATAGTTGGATGTCCGCAGTGCAGGGGCCCTTACATTATATAGCCTTATTTTCTCAATTCGGGAGTCAAAAACTCGCAGCAAAGGGTCCTTCTCTTCCCACTGGGACATTATTTTATTGTCTATGAAGGTTGCAAACATCTGTGTTTCGATGAAGTGTGAAAGGAATGGGAGGTAAGGCTCAGGTTGGTCCGAAAGGAAGGAAGCCTGAAACACAGAACAGCTTGTTAGCACCACGTTCCCGCCCAGCGTTGACACGACGGGCTGTCCTGTGGCAGAGAACCGATCCAGCAGCCAACGGGAAGGCTTGGACAAGGCTTCCCCACCACAAAGCCACCTCTGAGAGAGGTGTGAATCCATCTAAGAAGGGGTTTGGTTCTCAGGTCACCTCTTTGGTCACAACTGTGAGAAATAAGCAGTCGGGAAGGCTTCGTGACAGCTAGAGTAAAGGGAATATGAAGTTACTGAAGTAGTGCCCGTGCTGTCAGCTTTTTCAAAGCAGCCTAGCGTCTACCACCCACAGAAATGAGCCCTGTGCAACCCATGACAGACCACCACTACATGTGCCCACTTGGGACCTCTGGTCTGCGCATCCCTGCTTGGGACCAGCTCACTTATTAAGGTGTCATACACACAAGTGGGGTACAGTGCTCTTCAGCTAGTGCTCTTTTGTGAAGTTACACAGGGTAATTAATCATGAATTTCCAATTAAAACTGAGTGTGTGCCTAAGTTTCTAACTGAACTTTGAAAACAATAACCTTAACAGCACATTTTATTGTAGAAGTACTAGCAGAGATTGCCTAAACAACCCCCTCCTTTTGAATGCTGCACTGTTCAATGCCTGAATACAAACAAGACCAATAAAAGGCATGGCAGCATTTTTTTGATCAAAAACTGACTCGGATCAATATTTAGGCTGTTCCTGACTGTTTATCCTTCTACCATTCTCCTTAGAGAAGGACTTTTATCTGAAAAAGCTGATGGCTAAGAGCATGATCTACTTTGCAGAGTCAATCGGAAATAATTGTGCAAGGTTCCCAACATTTCTCATTCCTTTTGCTAGCCTACAGTCTCTTTATTTCCCCATTTCTAATCTCAGCTTCCTTGTGTACACACTACAGTGGAGTCATAACAGTCCTCTTCTGCCATAATGATGTGATAGCCTTCCACATAACAACACTACCCATTAGCAAAAAGCTCTACTGTGAGGTTAGAAAACAAGAAAGACTGGATTTGGGTTTTGTCTTGTGTGTGCACCTCTCCTCTCAGCAAACAAGAGAGAAAGAAAGAAAAAAAAGTCACTTTCCATTGCTACCCTTCCACCAAACCCACAGGAGAAGCCCCCTCAGCTGGGCAGAAGCCTGCCAGCTTGCTTCATACAAGCCAGGACAGCTCTGACTGGCTCAGTGGATCTGCAGCCATTTACTTTGGCAGGTGACCTGGCCCTGGGTAATCAAAATGGACAAATCTCTCAGTGAGGCAGATGAAGAACAGCAGATTAAAGAGTACCTAGGCTATATATATATATATCATATAGCTATTCTCCCTCCCTCCCTCGCAAAAGCACTTTCAGATGGAAAAATGAATACATGGCTATCTTTACTTTGTCAAAGTTTTGCATTTGTTCCCTGTTTGTCAGCCACGACTCCATATCGGGGGCAGCCTGAATGACGAAAGCCTCGTAGTCTGCAAACATCTGTGTGAAGCGGTTGGCGAAAACCTCGCGAAGCTGCACGTTCAGTTTGTAGTCCCTCAGCTCCACCTCCTCACACGGCAATTTCCCATCCTTCTCCTTCTCTGCGAGGGGAGCCGTGATAGTCATTTTCTCCATCGTCACGCCCGTTCTCTTGGCAAGAGCTTGCAGGCGGGCGATTGTCTCATTGCCTTTCAGCAGCTCGTACATGTTGAGGGCATTGCCAGGAATGTTCCCATTTTTGTCGTTCACCAAGTCACTAAGAACCAGGTTCTTGAGTTTGGTGGCACTGTCGCTGCAGTGCAGGTTACCCTCCGGTGGGATCCCAAACTGCAGGAGAACCTCAGAGATTTCCTGGATAAACTCCAGCTTGTTGGGGAACTGGGGGAATTCCTCTGGCAGTTCGATGAAATGGTTATCGATGTCTACAAAGCACAAGTTTGCCTGAAAGAAAAAGAAAAGTTTTAAAACATGCTCAGCACTGAACTGGCTCCTCTGCTAAGTAGCCCTATTTTCCCAGGGTGCTTCCAGACAGAAGGGTAAGAGCACACAGGTGCAGGAGATTTTAGCTGTGTTGTCTAGCCTGTGACATTTTAGACTTCAGTAAAGCTGAGGGCCAACTGGATGGCAATGATTTAATGAATAAATAAAGTCTCCTGCCCTCTCCTGTTCCCCCAGGACTTGCAGGTCCCAAACTTCCCACTACAAAGATCTGATATCCCCTCCCAGACCAGCCAAGGACACAACAGCAAGCAGGATGTGCAGCACCACTTCTCAGCCCACGTAAATACTACTTGTGTGAACTGCTGCATCTCAAGGGCATGTTTATTTTACTAGGATCCAACTGCAAGAAGCCTCTGTAGCTGTGCCACCAAGGAACGAGATGTTCAGTGAGAAAGAGGACACTGCTATGAGCAAAGCTACAAAAGAGGGTCCCGTGCAAACCCTTTGGGATCATGTCCGAGTATAGCTTGTCCACTGGAGGTCAAGCCCTATTTCCCCACTCCCCCCTACCTCCTGTTTCCATGGAGGCTTTTAATCTCGGCAATTCCTCTGCCTGAGATTTAAACAGTGCTTTTAGACAGCTTTGCTAGGAATGGAGATGGATCTCAGCCCATAAGATTAAAGCTAAGTGAAGACATGAATCTAGCGGAGCTGATACTTTTACTAGGAAAGTGTCAATGGGGGGATGGAAGAACCCTACATAAAAATTAATTACATTGCAAATGCACCCTCAGGAATAATAGCAGAATGAAAAACAGTAATTGATCTTCTGAACTGCGGCTTACATCTGAAATTCTCTGTCTGAGTGCATTGTGCTGAATAAAATCTTAAACCAGGTCAGATTCCCAAGGTGCTGAGCTCCAACGGGTTTTACCCTGGCATAAAGCTGCAGAACGAGAGGTGCAGGAACCCACAGGGCAGCAGCAGCAGCAGGTCTTTGTTAGCCTGGCTTGGCCACTACCACAGCTCCTCCGCCTTCTCCAAGGCACTTTTACTGTTCTTTACTTCTTGCCAATGCTGTAGATTAATCTGCAGATTATGTGAACAGAAAGGACTTATTTTCCTCCTTTTCTGAAAAGGTTAATTTTCAGCAGGACAAGACATTCCACAGTAGACGTGGTTGTAATATAGTGGATATTTCAGGGACATGCTTGAGATTAATCACCTTTCACATAGATGCTTTAAAGGGTATTAGGATTCATTTGGTAAAGCAGAAGTGTCCCTTCAGCTCACTTTTTCATAATAAATTTGGACTGTACAAAGAAAAGCATTTCTTCACACAAGACAATTTGCTTTACTTAACTATACAGCTATTAAAGACTTGTGGTATGCATCAGTAGGGTTCTTTAGCTCAGGGACTGTCGTCTTATCTATCAATATTTCATTTCAAAGGCTTTTTAATTTCAGCTCTGCATATCATTTACAAAATTTGAAAAATGAGATTTGGATTCAGAAAACCCTTGGGGAATCGGTCGCACTTCGCTCTTCAAAAACATCTGATGATTAAAGTTAATGCAGAGAGATTAGTAACCTTAAGACAGCATGATGGCCAGTTGTTAGAATTTTTATCTCTAACAAACAAATGGTTTATATTTAGACCAAGAGCTTGAAAAGCTAGCCCCTGGCCTGAACAATAAAGGAATGCTAAAGCGAACAGCGTTTCATCACTGCTTGTATGTTGAAGGATTTTCTATTTTTTATTGTCTAGAGGAATTTGAGATTCAAGATCTTCCCTGTTCAACACTGCTTCTTTCTTTCCCTTTTCCACAGTCACTGGACCTGTGGTGTTCATAAATGCCGTGCTGATATTTTTCACTCATTTGTTAAACATCGTAGCGGGGGGGTTTCCACCCCACTATTACTCTTCCCTCACTGGCGATATTGAATTTGTTATTTCAGTGATACTGCAAGCCCATCACATTGAAATTTTAATTTAAGGCAAATGACAGCTTAATCTGCTAACTAAAAGCATATAACTAATAATTTTAAAAATCACAGTAATTATGTAATATTAGCATGGTTTTACTGAAAAGCGTAGCTAGATACCAGCTTCGTTTCCACGCCAGTGCAAATTTCATGCGATTGGGCCATTGTATCCACGAGGTAAGAATTGATTTGCACTGTTACATGCCACCAAGGCTAAGAATCAGTCACCTCCACCTAATACTTAAAATAGGCCTTTATTATAGAATCATAGATTGCTTTGGGTTGGAAGGGACCTTTAGA